AAGATTATAAATATTTGTATATATTTATTTGTACGGCATTCTTTTTTTCTTAGAAACTTTTAGTAATACATAATTATGTTATTATTACTTACATACATGCTCATACGTCATTTTATCACAAATGTGGAATGTAACCAGCTAGAATATCTGGAGTCATACTGGATAAACACATTCAATTATATAGAACCACGATATTTTAATTGGCGACAATGTTTCAAATGTGACAGTAGATTAGTGTGAAATTGAAGTGGAAAATTGATTGAAATTTAGCACTTGATTTGTCCAACTAACAACTAACATTTGTGCATATCGTAATATGTATATGTATATGTATATGTAGGAGTATAGAACTGAAACATGATACGTTTGAGACCACGATACGTCAATATTCGACTCGTCCACAATACCATGGGGAGACCTCGTTAATACATACTAAAATTAACAGAGCTTCTGTTCGATCCACTTACAATATACAGTTTCATGACTTAACTCTTCGTGATTCTACACCGAATTGGAAACTTAAAATTTTGTTTCTATTTCGCATTTTGTTTTGTTTTAGCACATGGAATATAATGTTTTATTGTTAGGACGTTGTTGCGTGAAAATATATTATTATAATGTATAGGGACAGTAAATCTTCATGCAAACGTGTTATAAATAAAAAATTAATTTTTTTATCCTATACGATAAAATATTCTTTATTTTAATTTAAAAGAAAAAAAAATGGAAGAAATTTTAGTAACTTAATTGTAACTATATTCGATACAATCTAAACTAAATTTAAATTTTATTAATCTGAAAGAAGTACATCTATAGACATAGCACATCTTCTGGATCAATGAAGTTTAATTTGGAAAATCCTCAAAAATATCTGTTACTACTCTAATGTTTATTACACAGTATTACGTACAAATCTATTATAAACTTAAGTTATAAAGTAATTTAAATTCTTTTTAAAAAATAATATATTAAATGCAGAAAAATTGAGAAGAAAATTAAAATAATCGCAAAGAATTAAAAATAATTATTAAAATTCAATGTATTATTATTCTGAATACAAAAACTTAACCTCTATAATCTTTTTGAATTTATTTCGAATTAAAATGTTCCAAACAATAATCAAGTTGTTAACAAAATCTGATCTGTGTAAACATTTCAATTTAAATGACAATTCTATTATAAAAGCGAATGAAAAGTACCATGTCACAGTTTTATCGATCGAAAGTAGAAAATTGAAAAAAAAAAGAGCGAAACAGTGAATTTAATATTTGATTACTGATAAGATCCGTTCTGCTATAAAAATGTAGTAGCACGAAAGCAATTGTATCTCGTGTGTTGTTTAGATGCAGCAAATAGATAAGAAATACCATGCATGACGAATCATTCCTCGATAAGATGTTATTGATAGAAATCTTTCCGCAAAATGTGATCAACGTGAAATCAATAAACACCTTGAACGCTAATGTCGGGAATAGAGAACAAGATATGTGTGTTTTTATTTTTGACACGATTACATTATTCACTTTCATGAAATAAAATTTCATTTATGAACAAAAAAACTATATAACTCAGTTTGCTATGTAATATACAGTTTACGTGTACTAGAATTTACTTTTTTTACAGTTTTTTTTTAATCATAATAACAATATAAAAAACGTCTACAGAATTAAAAAATCTCAATTATTAAAAATTTTTAATCGTTTGAAATAATTTAAAGAAATTAATTTCGTTTATTTAATTTAATAAATTGATTTTTAAATTGGAAAATTATTAATTTTTGTAATATTTCTTGTGCATCTATTATAACTACAATAAATAAAGCCTTTTTCATATAGTTTTATTTTTTATAGATAAACTTGAATAACTGGAATTTTATTAAAATAAAAAATTAAAACTCAAAATCGGGAATAAAATAACATTACTATACAATATTTCACCTAACAATAATAAAAAATTATATTACATTAAAAACAAGTATCAAATATTTACATATAAAATTGATTACTTTATACAGAAAAGTTACAAGAAATGAAATTTAGTTAATAAATTAATCTCGAGTAATAAATTAATCTCAGATTAATTGAAAACGACAATTGTATTTAATTTAGAATAGAACAAAAATAAATTTCTGTATAACCAGCAATTGTACATCAATCGTGTTTTACTTATTTATATAGATTTTGAATACACAATGAGTAAGTAATATTATATCGTTCACTTAATGTAGCATATAAAGTCAAATCTTACTAATTGTAACTCTATATTTATGTATATATTTCGTCCGTGCATGAAAAATAATATGATTTAGTAATACATATTAAATGATTTAAACATTTTAAATATATGAAAAGAGGATGTATGAAAAAAATAAGTTTTATTAAAAACAATATAGATACAAATACAAATTTGCTGATTTGTATCTTCATTATCGACAATATATCAACAGTGTATAACCATATCCATATAAAAATGAGTCAAACAAATTTTCCAGCTGAATATTTTAATATCGGCAGTTTAAGCAATACTTAATATTGCTTTAAATTATAGCTACAAAAAATTTTATAGAAAATATGCATATATTAAATATTTTTAAGAAACTATTCTCTTTATCACGATAAGTAGCAAATTTTGATCATTTACATTTTGAGTATTTTCTAATTGTGCGTCTTAATTAATCAAATCATACTTCTTGTTCTAGAAATATTTGTTCTAGAAATCTTCAAACTAATTCAAAATCTGATTAATAGTACATGATTGATCCACATCTTAATTAAAATATCTTTGATGTAAAATTACATAAATTAAATTATATCGATATTTTTATTCTTTGATTAATTATATTTTCTGTTTAAAAAATAATTTAAGCAAGGCACGCTTAAATAATCTAGCAATTTGGACTAGCTCAAATAACACACACAGTTGTAAGTTTCTAATTTCGATTTCTAAGTTCCTGAAATGTGCTTTACAAACTGTTATATAAAATACATATGTGACTTCCATTTTTCAATTATTGCAAAGTGTCAAATTGCAGAGCATCAAATTATTTTGTTTTCTTGTTCATTGAATCGGCGCAAAATTGAAAACCGGATATTTAGGTGCGAAACGATTCGACAGACCAAAAATATGCTCGGATTCACCACGTTCCCACAGACTTCTAGCACCATTGGTTGATTCTTCATATGATGGAGGAGCTGTATAATTTTATGCATATGTTAAACTATATTCTTTATTGAAACGTATCAATTTAATTTATTAAAATTATATAATTATAAAAGATATATAAAAATATCCTTACGCAAATTAGGATATAAATTCGATGGCGGAGATCCGTCAGAACTTGAAATTGGAATTCCTGAGGAATTCCATCCAATTTCTGAAGATTTTGGATAGCCTTCGGCCGGAGGAGCAGTCGGAGTTTGATAATTTATCAATGGTATCGTACCCACGAATATAAGAGTGTTTTGCGATAAATTCCGATGATACCTGACACATAATTATCTATTCTAACATATTCATATCTCGTAAAACATAATAAAATAAGTAGTATCATTCTGATAGTGACTACCATTAGTTTATTTATAATACTTCGAAACTGCAATATTTAAATTTACTTAAAATGTAATTTTAAAATTCAAATTCAGTTATTTACAGAATTTTGCTATTAAATATTAAATTTAAAGTTGAAAAAAAACAATATTTTTTCATAAAAATTAACGATCTTCCACGATAAAATATAGTAATAACTTTTTCAGAAATAAAATATTTTGCATAATAATATAGCATATTATATTATATTACTAACCATCCTGAGACACAAGCTATGACTTTAAGATTATATTCCAAATCAATAATTCCACAATTCGTCAAATTCGATGGAGGTAGCGGAGGAATATCGAGATTCTGTTCATAATCTGCAGTTCCGCCTCCTTCAACAGGTCCTTTGCTAACTTCCGCTATTACAATTTCTTCTGTTTTGGTATCAGTGGTCGGTGTAGTGGCCCGAAAAGTTACAATCTGAACTTCATAATTCATTATTATCTTAAAATATTTTTACCTATTGTATGTTATTAACAACATCATTGAATTGTATATACCTTACACAGAAGTAATTTTATAGTATCCACAATAACTCCTGACAAATTTTCAACATTCACTTTTATTGGCATTGATTGGCCTGATACATATCCTTTCACCGGTAACGAATAATTAACAGTTAATGGTGGCGTACCGCAACATAAACAGCAAAATGTTTTGCTCATTTCTTCTTGCACTTTTTCCTGAAAAAATGTATAATATATACATGTAATTTTTATATTATAATAAAATTTTATTACATTAATTGTATACCAATAGTGAAACTATGAAATAATTTTGTTTCAATTTTTATAGTTTCTATATATGAAAAATTTTACTTTCGATTTAATTTTCTATTTTTAAAATGTATACTAAATTTTAATGCATATTAAATTTTAACATTAAATTAAATTAAAAATTTTACATTTTACTACTAACTACTATAATGTCAATCATTTCGGGCTTTAATTTCAATCATGGAAGATTCGTTTTTTTCATTAAATTAAGAATTTAATGATAAATTGTACCAAGGCCCTTGGTTCTTGATTAAGATCAAGAGGTGATACCACTGTGAAGGGACTCTTTACTTCTTGATCGAACTTCCAAGGACGATCCAAAGTTGCTTTAACTGTATACCGAACATGTCCAAAATCAGATTCGAAACTGCTGGGTAAATTTATAGGTAGAACACATTGAAACGGAAATTTATGCTCCCCACTTTGTATCTCGATTTCACCACCTATAGAAAATTTATTACTTTTTCCAACAAAAGTGTTAATTAGTAAAATAATTTAAAATAAAATTTTACCAGAAGCTGATCCAATAAGATAATACTTTGTCTCAAAATACTCTTCATGTGCGGAGACCGTCTGAGTTCCATCTCTATATTGTCCTCTCTCATCCATATCTTGTTTATCAGTAGTCCAACATGTGTTCGCCACACCTTTTATTTTTACGCTTATACCTGAAAAAATTATTAAATATTATTATTAATCAATAATTATTTATTTTTGAAATAAATTATATATACAATTTTGAAATAAATTATATATACAATATATTTGAAATAAACTAGATATACAATGTATATAAACCATATATACAACGTATACAATATATAAAATCTACACTATAAAGAGAAATTAAAAATATTTCACATTTAGCAATTTTACATATTGGAAATAATTTCTAAGTTTGAAACTATTGAACATATTGAATACAATTATACTTTGAGATCTTGCATAAAACAATAATCAACTTCTTCTGTTGACTTGTTTTCCCATGATCTTTGAAATTACGAACACTGAAAACTAATTGGTTCTTTCTTTGTAACTTAACTCTAAGTAAAATATTATATTTTATTAATGTATGAAAAAAATTAAATATCTTTTTATCATTCCATTTTTATAATTGGACAATACATACATTATAGTCGTTACAGTATATACGCATAATTCTAATTTGAAAATTTAACTTAATTCTCTCGAGATTGTGAAATTTTAAATGAAAAAATTATCAAGAAGATCTCCATATTCCCAGTTATTTAAAGCAGTAACTATAATAAAGTAGTAATTAAAAGAATAATATTATATGTATATGCAATATAGCATAACGAGAACAAGTGTTTCACGACTAATCGTCACTGTCCATTTTCACTATGTGGGTGTATGGTCGTGCTATAATTAAACTACACTTTACGACAAAGAAGAAAAAATATTCTCTGCAGGAATGTGTGACAAGAACTCGACAATAACGAATATCATATACAAATTGGAACCTAAACTCATATTAGAATAGAATACAATATGCTCCATCCAACATGAACAGAGTAATATACAGAGAATATTAAATTTAAGTAATAATTCTTTTTTTTATATTCGTTTTATTTCTCTGGAGTTTTCACAATAATTAATCTCTCTTTAAATAGAATTAAATCATTTTATAAAAAATATTGCATAATTTTACTTGTTCCGTCGTTATTTAAATTTAACTTTATATTTTACATATATATTTTCAAACTTGAAATCTCTGTATTTCAAGCTTTTTAGTTTTCTAAACGTGTCTTTTTCAGAGATATTTAAGCTATCTAATTGAACAGAAGTACTACAAATGTTACTGCTTTTGACATTTAAAAACACTGATAACACCTGTCGATATGTGGATATTACCAAAGAAGCATATACTGTCACGTGTTATTCGCCTGAAAATAGTATTACGTGAGTCATGCAACAAGATTTTCGAATATGCATAACATACCGCGTATCTTTTTCGTGCTATCTAACACCGCGATGATAATTCCATTAACAGTCTGTCCTGGATAATAAATATTCCAAGGATTGTCGTAGACTATTCGGAAATCCTTTAGTCCCATGTTTACTGTGGCACGATCAAGTCTTTCGTCACAATCAATCCGTAAGTTGATCTTGTTTCTTTATAGAATTAATTATCCCGTTTTGAAGTAGATACGCGATCAACTAACGCAGGCTCGTTCATTCGCCGTTCCACACACTGAATGTACACGACGGCTATATCGAGCCGCTCGTAAAAGCCGGTCGACTCAACGTTACTACGGGCGATATTTGTCTCTTCTGCGCAAATACCAACTGACGCAGTGGCTATAGAACGGTATTACAGGCCGTTTCAAACAAGAATTGACAATAATGTTGTCGGTATTTATGAAAAAGAACCTGAAAGAAAAATTATGATTTAAGGGAAATCAAAAAGTCGTATTATTATTTATTTTTACTTTACTTATTTTACATCTAGTATTTGTTATTACATTGATGACACGTAACATTGTACATTATCTGCGCGATAAAACTTAACATTTTTTTTATTTTTTTATATTTCTTTTTATATTTCAATTGCAAACAATTCTTGCAGATTTCTGGGGATGGAATACGAATATGGAAACTGTTTTCCTTTATCACATATTTCAAATACGTGTAGTTAGTAGGAAAATCAATTGAAAAGAAAGAAAAATTTTCAACTGTGAACATTTTTTGCATTAACTGTTGTAAGTGTAAAAATTGCACAAACATTTCTTACAGAAAATAATTCTACAAAATCATAATATGTAATAATATTTATTTTTATAACATTTTAAACGTTTAAAGATGTTCAAGTAGTTCGAACCAACATGAAAAAAATGCACCAATTTTTGTCAGTATTTTTTAGATGATCTTAAAAACTGAGGATTTAGAAGAAAATTTGAATATAACGAGCAATAGAGCTCTTTTTTCTTGAAGAAACTATCAGAGAAAGATATAACCAGTAGATTTTATCTTTTATTAAAAAATTAAAAATTAACAATTCTGCAAGATACAAAATATTGACAATGATTGGTAATATTAATCCGTTTGCTCAACATTTTTTCCATCGCAACGCAGCCTTTTTATTCATGCAAATATGTATACCATTAGCTTGTTTTACTATTATACTTATTGTCAATCAATTTTTTATATTATAAGAGAGTTACGTATTCGACACAATTTTCTAAAATTTTCTATAACTTCTTTTACAAAACAAACTACAAAACAAGAAACAAACCATTTATATGCAATGATGCCTGGAAAATAAAACTTTTAGAATTATAATTAATTATAATTTCAATTGCAGGTATGGATTCAATGAACGAATTTAAAAATAAAATATTTATTTATTTATTTGAAGAATGTTAAAAATCTTTAAGCTTTACCTCGAGATATTTTATTTATTTTAATTAATTGTTTTTTTTATTTCTGATGTCATTGCTAAAAATAATGATATACGTTATACATTTAATATTTGTTAATGTTATGTTATTATAGCTTTGTGAAGAAACTTACAAAAGTTTATATGTTCTTCAGAAGAAGCGTAGAACTAATTTTAAGAATTAGATATTATTTTGTTAATTAAAGAAACAACACAATTTACAGTAATATACTTCTTAATTTATAAATATGCATTTGTTCACAATAATAGTCAAGATAAAATTCATAGTAAGAGATATTTTTAGAATACAATACAGGAGGAGCAACATAATTTCTTCCTATGGCCAAATTATGAAGATCAATGAATAAGATTTGCATAATTGGTAATGATAACTCAAACATTACGTTTTTTTAATATGCGTGCGCGCGCGCGCGCGCGTGTGTGTGTGTGTGTAATATGTTATTAGACAAACCGAAAGTGGTGCATAGGAAGGATTCACAATCAGTGAATTCGATTTATGTCAATATGATAAATGTTTATTAATATAACTACTATTATGTTACAAGTAGTCTGTTTGTAATATTTAAATTGGGAAATCTCGTAAAATACAATAAAATATGTCAATAAATTGCAATGTTTACATTAATATTTTCTTGTACATCTATACCTTCTTCTTCGTTCTAATTGCAACTACTTCTTCGTTATATTGCAATTGAAACATTTTTAAATAAATTTAAATAATTAGTTATACTTTTACAAAAATTTATCAACTAATCGTTTTGATTTTTACGGTAATGATATATACATATATATAATGGAATTTATTAAATTATATTTTGAAGTGCAACATTACCTGTGAAATTAATTTTTTCGTTACCGTGGACGAGATATCTCATCACACGTTGGTTGCGCAATCTACTGACAAATTATTTCGTTTCGTAGTAGTGTTTCTTCCTCTCAATAGAGGAGGCGCGTAGTACCAATATGCGTGGCAATATTTTGTCTTTTACTTAATGTTCTCAATTGAAAGACATACGAAATAACTAGTCAGAGGTATCACAAGAACAGAATTATATAGCGAAGTAACTCGTCAGAAACGTAGACATAATGTTATGAAGCGAGATACATATCACGTCCATGAAGGGGTTAATTAGGTTTTTATTTCCATTATCATTATATTATAATAATATAATTTAATTATATTAGAATAATCATTATTATTATTATTGTTATATAATATTTTTATTATTATATGTATATACTACTGTATAATATATAATAGTATATTATCATTAGTTTAGTATTATTATTATATATTATCATTAGTTTTATTTATAATATATAATAGTATATTATCATTAATATTATTGTATGTAGGAATAAACAGTGACATTGTATATTATAATAATTATTATATCCTTTATATTTATTTATTTTTATATCACTTTTAGGAGAACTACATTAGCATATCTGAACTACTTAAAAATGTGTAAGGTAATTCAAAAAATTTTTTTACTTTTCGACATCATTCGTGAATCTTGTATCATTAAATTATTAACAAGTCGCCAAAAAATTTTAATAAAGAATGCTTATTATTTAATACTTATAAAGATTCCAATTAATACGTGCAGGAAAATGTGAATACTAAATTAGGGTTATACAATTTATATAAGTGTACAATTTCGTACTTTCATGGGAATACTTAAAATATGTTGTCAAAGTCAATATTCTGAATATTTATTTCCCATATACATATACATCCCTTCTTCTTGATTTTAGTTTCAAAAATAATGTTAATATTTAATGTTATAACCTATAAGATGTTGCGTGATTTGTGAACAATTAATTGGGAGGTAATTTCACATATAGAAATGAGTCAGAAAGAAAGAATAAAATATTTTCTCCAGGGCTTTCAGGAAAACCGATTTTGAATGTTTTTTAAGAATGTATATTTGAATTAAATTAATTTCTGGATTGACAGAAGATTGTTTTATATTTTCAGGAAATTCAATTTGAAGTTTCATCTTGCGTGCCAAGACAATTTTTAAAAAAACATATTCAAAATTTATTTTCTTGAAAAAAATCTTAAACAAAAGAATTTTATTCTCTACTTTTTGCATATAGAATATTCTTGTGTCGATTATTCTGTTGACTTACAGAATTAATCACAACTTACATGTACTTGATAAATTTTCAAACTCAATTTTCTGGGAAACAAAGGTTTTATTTGGAAAAATCTTATTTTTTCTTTTCGACTCATTTTTAAATATAAAATTACCTTCTAATCAGTTGTTCATGAGTCTATATGTATAATTGGTTGATACAATGCTACATTACATAATATAAATAGAACTACGTTACATAATATAATAGATACAATTGTCACCCCGTAAAGTAGCCAGATTAAATACTCTCGTCCAAACTTAATCCATACTTTTGAATATATCTTTAAAATTGAACGGCGGTTATATGTATAAGAAAAAAATACTCATACACAGAAATACTCGGACCTCAAAATCGATCGTTAAAAAAGAATCGTTCCTATTCTCAAGAATTATCAAACATTATACTATTAATTACATAGCTATAATTGTAGTTTTAAAATTATGCTCACCATTTTTGAAATTTCCAATATGCAGACTCTACCAGTGATGACGTAATAATATTACGTAGCGCCATTGGTCAGACGTAGATAAACATGCGCGCAGGTAAACTACATTTTCACGTATTACATATCGTGGCGTTACTTTTGCAATGGAAACGCGCATGCTCCGATTCAATTCCAATGATGTCATAGGTGAATAACGGATAAGATAGCGGATGATGCAATTGACGAAGACAACTGATGATAATTCCAAAGGCAATTCTTATACTCAAAAAATAGAGTTTCAGTCAGGCTTTTTTTTGCTTTGCTGAAATTATTAAACAAATTAATCATCACTTTTAATTATTTAAATTTTAGTCCGTTTATACAAACTTTTATTTAAAGAGATTTAAAACCTTTTGCAAATGTAACTAATATAAATGGAATTTCATTAAATAGACCAATGTTTGGTTTATTTCATTAAATAAACCAAAATTTTTTAAGTTAAACAAATAAAAATATTATTCAAATAATTAATCAATATTACAAATTTAAACAATTTTAAATTACTTTGTTGTAAGTTAAGTTATTACTTTGTTGTATTATTAAGTTAAGTAATTACTTTGTTGTAAGTAAGTTATACAGGTTTATTTTAACATGTTTCGATAAACGGGTGTTAACATTATATATAATATTTATTTCTTTCAGATACAAATAAATACAGAATTATAGAGCAATTTTTCCTTAACGTTCCTATCATTTTTCTGTATAAATTTATATAAAATACCTCTATGAATTTATACAACATACCACGTTGTCTACTTTCATGAAGTTACATAGAAAATTTTATTAATATTTTTTAAATCTACTATCATTAACTTATAACATTCTACATTTTTATTTTGCCAAATGACATATTTCGACATATTACCATATTCTTTCAATTTATTATAATGTAAAAAATTTCAAAAATTCTACAGTTAATAGTTACGATGTTTTGTTTTATATTCTTTTGTTTCTTGCAATTAGTTCACATTATACGATAAACAATCAATACAATAAATGAATTAAAAGTTAAAAAATAATGTAATAAATAATGTAAAAAATAATGTAATATATTCTAAAATAATAAAAATATATTCTTTTGTTGCTTACAATTAGTTCACATTATACGATAAACAATCAATACAATAAATGAATTAAAAGTTAAAAAATAATAATTATTTTTTTTTTTTCTAAACTATCATCAATCTCAAATACTACGTAAAACAAGACTAAAGTGATAAAATATATTTAGCATTTTATTAATAAGAAAGAAAAATTTGTAACATTTATAATTTGGTTGTTGTACATTTTTTCTCTGAATTTTCATGAAAATTTACTCTTTAAAAACTGAATGATAGTTTCTACAAAAACTGAGAAATGATAGCTATTATTATATCTCTCGTATAATCTTATTCATTAAAAACATGTATTAAATGTTTTCATGTGTACAATATTCTGTACAATATTCGTACAATATTCTGTGTACACAATACTTCACGGAAATTTATTTTCACATCAAATACACACAGAGAAAATATTGTACAGCTCGAATATATATATATA